CATATTTTGTGTCAAAGTTCCAGAGATGACTCAAAACTGTTGACAGAAACCATGAATCGAAATGCTTATTCACACAAACACATCAAAATCGTTTATTTATTGGATGCATTTGGAATAGTTATTGAGCAAATATAAATTGACTGTTGAATGCTGTGGAATGATCGCCATAAAATCAGAATCTTTTCAAAGAGATTCATTCAATTCATCTGATTCATTATCATAAATACGCATTAAAATCACTCATCCAACCAAATGATTCAACGTCAAATGATTGCAATACGTCGTCAACAGATTTTTTTCGATGGTTTTAAGCAGATTCTTTCCGAGGATTTTATACGTACGTATATTTCTCGATAATTCTGTCGCTTTTATTTGACATTTTACGACGGTATTTCACCTTGACAATAAGTATTTGTCGATAAGCTTTCGATATCATAACAGATTTATGTCACTTATTCATTTCCGCTCTTTCGATATAAATAGCTGTTTAGAGATGAGGCATGCATCAATGCTTTGAATGGCGGCTCATAATCTATTGCGATTCTCTCCAATACTGTCCGTCCAATAGCTCGCACTGAAATAAATTAAACGCCTTCATATGATCACTCGTATCATTTTTGTCCAAATATCACTTAAAACCTTACAAAATCGTTTTTCCTTTGAATTTGACGAATACTGATGGTAGTTTCGAGAAAGAAATGTCGTTATTCCCAGATTGTGACTGCCCACACTCTTTAACAAAACAAGATCCAGCCCTGAAGTTGCTTCAATGCGCTCAACAATTTGCAGCAATCCTGTGGCCCTATTTCTCCTTCTCACAGAGATGAGCAATGTGCTGATAGCGATTCGTTTCATTGAAGCCACTTGTCTCATCAGATCCTTCCTAGGAGAGGGTTTGCATTTACCAACAAAACTTATCAATATGGGCTAGATGGATTCCTCAAATCTCTTCGGCTTGCGGTCTTGACTGACATGAATACTGTGGGTAAATATTTTTCGCGTCTGTATTGCAGGCGATATCAACGAAAAAATCAACAATGAAAACGATTTTTGTCGTTTTTGCAATCGCTGCGTTTACGGGCGTTCAGTGCTTCATGGAAATCGACGAGTTGAAGAGGATGGTAACCGATTACAATGTGAGATGGCAGCTGAAGATGCTTGATCATGACAGGAACATGCCGAGAAATCAAATTATAAGCAAAATTAACGAAATTGTCAGCAAACTACCGCAAAACGTTCAGGTAAACACGCGTTTGACATATAGTTAAGAAACTTCAAGCAGCGCTTCGAGTTGCTGTAAGGGCTGATTGAAGGCTCCCCACATGACCGAACAAGGCACAGAAACTATGCTTACAAGACTTATGAAGGTAGTATGATCTAAAAAGTACTCTGATACCGTGTTGATACACTTATTGATTTGTGGTACATTTGAAGAAAAATTGTGACTTCCGTCGAGTTTCTATCATATACATTTTTGATTCATAATAGTTTTGTATGGCTTTTTATGGCGCACAAATAGATTGCCTAATGCAAGTCAAAATGAATGAATAAGTGAAATCCCATGGTTCAATCGAAACTTCAGAACGCTCCAACAAATTTATGATCTCATTTATTTTAAGCAAGTTTACAAAAAACTGGTGGACAGCGAAGCAGCAAAAAAGGATGCAGAATACGAAGTTGAAATGATCGTTTTACAGAATCGCGGTTAGTGATTTTCGTGATTTCAGTTTTGTTTCAACTTTGATGGTTTTTTCGATATTCCAACAACATTCCTTGATTTTTTGAACACTACAATGATCCCCATTTGATTCGTTCCTTTGACAAAGTGTTTCCATGACATCAAAACTCATGCGTAAACTTCAATAATGTTATTTTGAATACTTGTTGAGCGAAAATTTTGGTGAGGCGGCAATGATATGAAATGAATCGAAATGAATGAAATGAAACGAACAGTCTGAATGCGACAACAAATTATTGGCACAATAGAGGAATGTTTCTAATTAATTGTGAGTTGAAATTTTGTTCGAATGAAATCCATCAAAAAGTCGGTTGCAATGTAAATGAATTAGGATGAATTCAGAAAGATTGTATTCTGCTGTAGGTGCCCCACAACAGATTCTTGAGTTGGTTAAACAAATTCATGCGATCAAGATGGATATGACACTGTCACGTTACCAAGAAGATCAGAAGATCAGAGAGCTGAAATGGCAAATGAGCGGGTATGATGGATATTATCATGGATATCGTGGTGGATATCACCATCAAAATCTCAATAATTGGCATGACTCGCACGATAACTCGGCCGATGTTTCCATCGAGGATTAACTGAACGCTTCGTAAACAACTGAAGCCAAAAAACAAAAAATCTTTCGAACATTGCCTTCGTCATTTCCTTTAATAAAACATTCAGTTAACTTGCATATCGTATCCATCAATGTTTTGTCATAACGGCCTATATCACCGTCAGATCATGCCTTTTCGATAACTCGTTCAACTCGATGAGATCTACTGACCTACCTTCTGTTTCCCTTCTCATTCAACATCAACAATGACAATCCTAACAATATGATGTTCTCTAAATGAGTATTGTTCCTCAATCGTCACGAACCCACTGCCTGTTTTGACTGTCTATCAAATTTTCGTAGTGTTCCTAATAAAATGAATCAATGTAAAAATGGTGACCAGAACGAATTGTGAATAAGATGGAAATTATTCAGAATACATAAATGATCGCACGCTAACACCATTTTGAACACTAACACATGAGAAAGGGTAAAAGTTTAAAATGGTTCCTGTTCGAGGTCAGTTCCAATGAAATGCTTCTCTGTGCTAGTCGTATGGTAGCTAACTGAAGTAAACTGTGCAATATTTCTTGATGAACATACACTCATCGAAATCATACGCCCCTCATGAGTAAGTTATCGAGTTAGTTCCCCACTGGAAGAGTTCAACCTCGTGAGCATCTATACTGTTTGATTCTCCATACAAGTGTTCCATTTCTTATTTTCTGCATTTTCCATTTTCATGGGTCAGCAAATTATGAAGGCATATTTCACTAAACCACTGTGAAGTTGCGAATCTCAACTTTCTTTTCACGCCAGTGGTTTTCGGTACACCGTTCCTTCACCCAAGTCAATACAATCAACCGTTCTCAGCAGACTAAATCACGTTCCATGACAGAATGAACAGCTCTGAGTTTTTGCGAAAAATTTATTGATATTACTTTGCGACCTGTCTTCGCTCTCTATGTGGGCGCAGGTCTACCGATCCCCATATTACTCTTTGTTGAGCAGACCTTTGCCATTTTTGGCCAAACATTCTGACAAGCGGTTCATCCCATCTCATTCGTGGTCTGCCTAAGGGCCTCTTTACTCCTCTTGGAATCCACTGTGTTATTCGACTAGTCCAACGGTTATCATTCATTCTGGCTATGTGNATCGAACGTAGTTCCTCATTTTTTATCTTGTCTTTCCGTGAAACGTTACATTTATTGATATACCTATAAATAAATACACGTGTACAAACTGAAACTGGTTGAAAAAGAGGTCGGCGTACAGGTAGAAATGACTAAGCAAAGAGGTAGACCAAATGAAACCCTTCACGATACGGAAGGCTCACATGAGCCACTTGTGTACATGCGTAAAGAATAATGGAGATAAAATCGAAAAATAAGATCTCACGACATTACAAAAAATATATAGCAACTATAGAGCGATGAGATGATTTCCTCACCGCCAAAAGCACGAAGACGATACGTTCAAGGTGCTTATGCAAGGCTCATAATCACAACAGTCTTCCAAGCGGCTCAGTAAATCCCCAAAAGAATCAACTTTCACTCATGGAGGCAAATTTCACTCACTCTTTGCCAATTCCTTTCGTCCAAAAAATGTGTTTACAGGAAAGACTTCACCCTTGAACCCTCTCTTTGACTATGAGCCTTCTCGTAATTGGTGTGGCTTCAAGACATGTGCAAAATATAAGAATTCTAGAACAACTAAAACACTCTAAAGAGCAATCTATAGAAAATAATTCGTATGAGTTCAAACGATTTAAAACGTATTGTTACACTGACCAAAGCGATTCAAAAGTAATTCAGAACTTGTACGATGACAAATGAAGTGCCCATGATGGAACCTTAAAGCAGCTCGGCACAAGTTTTGCTGTGTTCGACCAACCGAAGAAATCTAGTGCTGCATTCACGCTACGCATATTTGCTGGAGACCTTCCTGAAAACAATAACGTTAAGTGACACATTTTGGTGGATAACTGCAGAATTTTCGAACTCACTGAACTCGTCAACCGTTTAATTATTCCTAATATCGTCCTCGTTAATGTAACTCTTCGATAACGAAACTATCAGACGTGGGAAACGTTTCATTAATCGCTAATCGTTAATCATCACCGTTATTTTTCCAATTAACGCTTTAACAACTGTGTTTAATTTCAGAACTTTTAAGAAATTAAGATCGGTAATACTTTTCTCAGAATGAATTAATTTGATGAGAAGTTTGCTTGGAGTGTGGAATTTCGTTAAAAAAAAGAATCATGCAGCATAAGCCACAATACTTGCATGAATTATATTGCCTTCANACAATATAATTCATGCATCTACATGTTGTTTTCTTTGAATATGCAGAACTCGTATTGATTAATAGATATATAAAAACATTATCAGAAACAAAATTGGCCGCAATATTTTCTATTGATTCTGAGAAATTCGGTCAATGTAAACTCGAAATCAATGGATATCATTAACAATTAACGCCGAAACTTTTCATGTGTACCAACTATTTAACATTGTCAACGTCATCTTTTCGGTTAACGAACTATCGAGTGTGACCATTAACATTACGGCTTACAATGACAACTTTTGGTAACACGATTCAAAATTTGCGGATTCTACAACTATAACTATAATGAAAGCAATATAAAAAAGATTTACAAATACTCACTGAGGGGAATAACTCTCGAAATCAAATAATAAAGTTACAATATAGCAATAACAATGATACTAACAACACAACAATTGTGATTAGTGATATTAACAGCAGCAATCACCATTATATCAATGATAACGATAATAAAAGTGCTAATGAATTTGATGTGAATGAATAAAAAGAATCAATGATGCATTAACAAACCGTCAATATCGACAAAGCCATATTCCCGACTCAAATCACCGGTCAGTTGAATACGACCACTCTTTTTCAGAACGTTCGAATCGGATGCAAGGCCCACGACAGCTCGTCCAGCGAATTCTGGCGTTTCACCGTTCTCTAATGACCTTTCAGCGAAATCCTAAAAACCACTGCATAAATTCAGTCAATAAACATTTCCAATAAATTATAAAGCATTCTAATGGGGAAATTTTCATGCGAAACTCATATGGCAGTTCTGTTTTCCTTCCTCATTCCGACNGCTAGCATTCACACTGCAGATTTGTATATTCTGATAAAAGCTGTAAGTGAATGAAAACGCTCTTGTATTGTACCTGGGAAAGACCTGTAATTTCGGAGAACTTCCCGGATGAGATAAGCTTTTCGGACATTTCAGTCTTAACGGTGCCAGGCCAAAGTGATATCACACTCACGTGATGCGGCTTCAACTCAAAAGCCATATCAGCACCCATACGATCAATCTGAAGTTCCATTATCGCAATAAAATTCATATGATTTTCACTGAAATTCTCAGTGATACCTTAAAATATCGACTGATGAACAAAATATCGATCGTTTAGTCAAACGATCACATCAATAACGAATTAATGAAACGAATTCGATTATGAATTGAATCTATGAAACGTACGATGCGAAAAATATTTCGTAAGATAATAAAAATAGAAATGGGAAAATCAATTTTAAAAACAATACCGCTGCTTTGCCGACTCCGTAAGCAACATTGAAGAAGTACTGAAGGCCACCAGCTGAACTGATATTCACAATGAGTCCACTTTTGTGTGGCACCATCAGGCGTGCGGCATGAACCGAGCAAATGTAAACGTTACGTAATCCGACATTATTCATATCGTCCCATAACAACGGATCACATTCATAGAACTTCTTTCCGCCTTCTTCCATCAGATTCTTCAAAATTTCATTTCATTAATCAATAACTGTAACAATCCTCTACAGTTATCCGCTTCTCTCGAGTTAATAAATAAAAATCTTCCAGCGATAACAATTCCACAGTCAGATGCACTTTCCACCTTTCAGCTTACTCAATCTAGTGCGCTTCTTAGCTTGAAACAAAATCCATTTTTGGTTCTTTTTTAACATTCCCTCTGTGATGTGACGTTAGTAGTGGCTATCTTTTGCATTTGAACCCAATGAAATTAAAGGAGGATGATCCTCGGAAATATTCGTCTAAACCAGCAAAAAAAGACCGCTACTATTAATAATTCAATTCACGTTATGCGCAGTAGCTTTTCTTAATGTAATATTACATNGCCCAAATTATCCAGAAATCATATTTGTCATTGCCAACTGGATTAACGAAAACTTTTTACTAATTAAGACTCTTCACTTGTGAGATTCATGCGAGGATGATTCAAAACGAAACTTTGCACCTAATCTGCATTCAAACTTTTGAGGTAACAGTCAAATTCATAACGAATGATAAATGTTAACGAATATGAAAACGTGATACCGGCGTTCCTGAATACGCTGCATTCACGAGCACATCAAGTTTTTGATTTTGTTCAGCCGCTACTCTATCGAAGAGCTTCTTAACATCGTTGTGATCTGAATGGTCGCAATACACCAAAACAGCCTTACCTCCACGCTTTTCTATTTCTGAAATGAAACCGTATGCCGTACAATAAAATAAGCGATAATTTCCCAGTTGGAGTAATCTTGAAGGGGTTTATGTACAAAACGTACAATAACAGCTGAGTAAATAAATAAATTTCTCAGTTCCTTTAAGGTAATGAAAGCGGTATTCGACTTGACATTTGCACTTGGGAGATAAATATCCCTTATAGACGACTGTAACCGTTCGCTTCTTGAATGCCATCACAAACGCGAAAAAGATTGATATTCTTAGTTTATCAAGAAATTACCCCAACATTTTTCCTTTTTGGTTTGTTTGCTTGTCTTAGTTATTTAATTTATTTTATTCGTGCCGTGTTTCTCGCTGGAGACATCCTCGAATAAACCAACTCTTCCATATAAATTCATATCAACATAAACGGTGACTCGAACGAGGTGTTTTTAAGTGTCTTTCAAGACTAACTCTAAGATTTTTTCCCACCGAAAAATCTTAATCATATCCTAGAAAGACACTTTAAAACAATTTTCCCAATCACCCTTTATGCTATAAATCTATTTCTAATAGTAGCAGAAATAGGAACAAATCCTCATCCGTACTAAATTATTTCTTAAAATATTTACCTTGGGCGGTTTGAGTCAAAGACGGTAGATCCTTCTCTTTGAACGAAAAAGATTTGGATGGTTCACGACCGGTAACGTAGACCGTGGCACCGGCTTCACCCAACTGAACGGCTATACCTTTACCAACGCCTCGTGATGCACCCGTCACTATGGCTATTTGACCCTTGAGTGGTTTCACCATCTTTTCAGTACCATCCTTCGATGACATATTCACGAATGACTGCAAATTTCCCATTTTGGAGACATTATTTAATAACATAATGCTAGCAAACCGGTGCAGTTCACAGTTTCATTAGGACAAAATGCTTTCAATCAAAATTGCTGGTTATTTAGATCGAATCGTTCAGTATCGCAAACGATAATGTAACGATATTGTTTCATATGGTGAAACAGTAACGAATAGAACAATATGAACGAAACCGTTCGGCATTTTGTTCCAGTTAAATTGCGTTTATTTTAAACGATTATAAATCTCGTTAGAGAAGGCAATTATGATCCGTGAATATTTTTATGATTATTAGCTTGCACTAGAGATTTTTTTCTTTTCTTCGATTGGTAATGTGTGAAAATTTCCTGAGAGTGAGTTCGAAAGAGTGTAGATTCAGTTGTTGAGTGGGGCTGTAAGGAGTCTTTTTGAAGTCTTTGAGCAGTTTCATGGTGTTTTGGATTTCAAAACGGATTCAACATGTGAGGCATCCCTGAAACGGATCCATCTCGACAAATTTCGAGCTTCCCACGCCGTTTCTATAACTTTTGCGATCACTTACAATTAATGTTGGTGTTTTGATGGGTGTGTCGTTTAGAAGTGACTTGGCGAACGGTGAAAACGGTGAACGACCTGAACTGATAAAAAAACGTCTGGACAGGTTCAGCAGCATCGGTTCGTTGTTTACTGCAACTGAGCAACATTCAGAATAACGATTGCGGAGATCATTTCAAGTTAGAAAAAATGACAACATGCTATCAATACTGATAATCAACAATTCTATTTTAAAAATCCAAACCTAAATCGGTAAATTCCTTTCTAACTCCAAAAAATCAATTAATATTCATATTTTCATTCGTTAAATCTTTGAAAAATCAACCGTTGCACACTTGAAACTGAAACATCTGCACTACATGCGATATCCTCTTCGATGAACAACTTGGTCGCTTTGTGCCAATTTGCTTGTTTAATGTTCAGTTGTACTGAGATTTGACTTATTAATGAAAATTTGAGTTTGATGATGTATTCAAGCTCACTGTCTTTTCTGCTTTGCCCGGAAACATATAACAGTTT